TTGAACTGAGGACTACTTTAACGGTGCTTTTCGTAATTAATTCGAATAATATGCCGGTTGATTCATTCCACCTTTAAAAATAAACTTGTGTAACTGAAACGTTTAACAAGTTTAGATGCATTTGGTAAATATCAAAATGTTAAAATTGATTTAAATGTGCATAAACTTCTTAGATACTTATTTCAGTAGTTATTCTATTTAAAAGAGAAATAAATACATGATCTTTATTTCATAAACATAATTTATCGAATGGTATAGAACGTCTCATAGGTTTAAAGCAAACAGATGAGATAATTTATTTTCCCACAGTGATAGATACACCTTATTGGACAAATATTTATAATCAAAGATTTGTGTTGATTGAAGTATGATTCACAATTAGAATACTTGACAGTTTTACTCAGCATATAATTTTCCATCATTGAGTAAATTTAATTTAAAAGTTATGGTTAAAAGTTATTTTGTATACCATTATGGGGTTGTGGAGATTGTTAAGTTTCTGATTGAGATCATGAATCGATCAATGTTATAGCAACACATCTAAGCGAACAATTGTTTCCAATTAAATCGTCATCATTAAAAACCTGGAAGCATTGGGCGGCAGTTTCCTCCTGGTATGTGGTTCCTCAGCAGCTCACATTCACGATTCCACACGTGACATTCGAACACGAGAACGCTTAACATCTAGACCACTGATCCGGCATCCAACGGTGTTAAGGTCTAACTTCAACTAATCAACGAAATCGAGCGACCATCTTCCATTATCTGAGATAGATACCTGTCTCTACCTAACACGGATTCAGTATACTTTAAGAATTCTCTCCATTGGTTTACAAAATGGAGGGAAACCATTAAAGAGTTAGAGTTCATTCTTATTTTAAGGTTTTCTTTATTGATGAATTTCAGTACCTATAAAACTCAAGCACAACTCTTTATGTCGACTGTTTTTAAAAAATACTAAATCTAATTCGAAAATGTAACATAATTATATTTCTCTTGATTTATGAACTTTAGTAAGTTAAAAGTCAATAATTGAAGATATCTACCAGCTTTCTGACCAGTATTTTCATTATTGATGATTTGCATGTTATGTAACGAGCAATTTGTATTTTTACTATTTTAAAATCAGCTTAACAGTTTTAATTTCTTGGTATCTTCAGTTAATTATTTAATGGCTCTGTTTTTTCCAAAATATGTTTGATTAAAAAATGAAGGTCATTCCTGCTAACAAACCTGTTATTTGCTTCTGTTCAAACATTCTTATATTATATTAAACGAGTTGAGATTTCATAATACAATAAACTGTCAGAACTTAAATGATTCATACGTCAAACATTTATCAGCATATATTTTATAAAGCAATTCAAATGGACAAGGAAAGGAGATAAATACAGATAAATAATAATTCAAGCCAAAAAAATTCAATGTTAACGGATTATTTATAAGGAAGTTGTTTCACTCTCCATATAAGATGACGAAGGCCAGAAATGTGAAACACTAGATTTCGATGCAATGATCTAATATTGGCACATCCATCCTTAAACCTAAACGTCTTTGATTTAATCTATGGTCAAGCGAGTGTTTACTTCTGAAGACATCGAAATCAGAATAAAACTGCTGCCAAAGTCATTATGCTTTTATTATGGTTGTCTAATTATGATTACTCCGTGATGTTACCATTTTCCTTACTGCCTAAATAACATATTATTATAAGTCTTATGTAATTTTACTCGGCAGTATGAAATTAACGAAAATGATTAACAGTTTATTAAAAGTTGTCCTTAAATTAGAGCAGTCATACATTTTTCTTTTCTACCACTGTAATAAGACCATTTAATTTAGTAAAATATGAATTACTCCAGCTTATAAACCATTTGTTCATGCATATGTTTGTTATTTTCTTATTTATCATAACCTCTCAAATAATTTACTAATTAGCAATTGAGTAATTTGTTAAGGTAAATATAAAATGTGATATGTATGGTAAGTATGTAAATTCTGAATTGAGTAAAATTATGTATTGTATTTTTGTATTTGAACAGAACTTTCTTGGTGTCAACAGTTTAGTAACAAAGTGTTAAATGTTTTTTTTCTGATGAAGTTAACGTCGCAGTCCAATTTATGCAATAAACATCTCAATCTAAGCAGTGGACATAGATATAGTTTATTCCAATAGTATAGGAGTGAAAAATGGATTAAAGTAAAACTTTATCATTATCTATTATTTCAGTAACATGAACACCTTTCTGACTAATTATTTATTTGGTTCGTAATATACATCCACATATATCCTAAATGTCAGCGAACAAAGCACTGTTATGTCATTAGCACTGTTAGAAAAGCCTGTGCAGAATCTAAATTTATTAGACCTCACTGAATTTAATTTAGCGATTTCTGTGGATACTAGCTTAATTTATGGGTATTATTCAATACAAATTAACTTTTCATGAGGTATCATTCTAGAACAAAGTTCCTTAACAATATCCCAAGGTTTTCGTCTACACCTCAACTAAGGTCAGTCTGTGACGAATACCAAAGGTGAACTAAATTATACTAAACAGCCCCATCAATCTAACTACAATTATGTGCTCGCCAATGAGTTCCAGACATGTCCCTGATGTTCTTGTGTGAAGCTGTAGCTAATGAGGTTCAATCACGATGATATTAAGTAGATGAGATTATTCACAACTGTATGTTGAGAACTGATAGAATTTGAATTTAAGAACCATCATACTCAAATTCAGTTGTCAATGGTTTAGAACACTAATGTTCTATTTACTGAATATTATTCTTTATTAACTATTTGGTGTTGACATAAAGCAAGGAAGACTTATTTTGTAAATTAAGCCTAATTCATGTGTGTTCTCAACTTTATCCAAAATCCTGAGTTATTTCTAGCTTGTAATGAAGATTACCTTACGTTGAAACTAAAAATGAATTATCTGTCGAGGGATATTAACGTGCTTCAAAAAAAATTGGAGCCTGGGAAAATGAAAATAAACATAAATTTATCAAACTTTAAGAAATGCCAATCTAAATGTTTAAATTTGCAAGAGAAAATAGAACATATAGAAATGGTTCACTTTATTTCTACTGCATTTTAATCTTAATGGAAAAGTCGGAAGTTAGTCATTGTATTTTTAGGCATAAACTGTTTATTTCTATTTCAACCGACTAATCATATTTTATTTCATTTAGATAAGATCAATTTATTGTGATCTACTAATACATTTGTAACTTCATTTGTATTTGTGATTTTAGACCCAATAACTATTAGAAGCAAACCGATGTTCATAAATCATTTGACAAGCTATGAGTTGCATTATTAAATACATCCTTATGTTTATTTACTTAGCAAGAACATATTGATTACAATCATTGACTGAAGAAAGTCGTCTTACAAATGGACTTCCAAAGTGAAATTAAGGTTGGGTTTCTATGTAAAAATATATATGTTGCATAAATTTGAAAATATTCATAAGTCACCTAACAACTTTTTACATGTTGAAATCGGTCATATGGGAGTTAGGAGAGGAATCTTTGAAGGAAGTAATAAATATTACTGTAGATCATCTGCAAAGAGATATAGAAAGGAATTTGTATTTAAACAAGGAATAAACGCTTTATGATAAAGCACAACAATGTTTCCTTAACCTACTAAGGTTAAAAACAAATGTGATACACTAAGTAACTTCATTAAAATTATAAATGTTTTTTAAGTTCATTGAGACTATAGAATGGAAATATGACTAAGAAGTTGTTAGTGAACACATTTTGTTTCGATTTTTATTGTTAAAACGATAAGGTTGGGAATTGAACTAAAATCTAAGTTTTAAGGGTCACATTTAGATAAAGTGAATGGTGAATTAAATGCAATGAGATATCAGGAATAGATCGTTAAAAATTGCCTACCTCTAACTTGTTTGTATACTAATTTAATCATTATTTCAGTTAATTTATTTGAGATGTCAATAAAGTACCGTTGTACTTCTAACTGTCAACATTTTTAATGCCATTTTGAAGCTGATAGATTCTTGAAGTTCCGAAAATGGAAATAAAATCAGTTAAATGGTATGTGATACTATAACAAGAGAGTCCTTTGAATTCAATTACACTAACATGTGTTTTATGATGCCATTTTTCTTAAGCAAAAGGATTTTTGAACAAATATTACCAAACTTCAGTACAGCTATTTAATTAGTTAAACTACTTTGACAGGACAGAGTTGAATGAAAAGTGTTGGTGAGTGGTGAGTAAGTAAGTAACTTTGACATTAAGAGTAATCAATGACACACATTATTAGCCAACTTAATAAGTAGAACATCTGTGAAAAGAACATCCTGGCAATTATTTTCCTTTATTTTTTCCTACTTTTTGATCCACTTATATTCAGAATCACACAACAGTAAAATGGTAAACCTTTTCGTTACATGTCACGTTAGTTAACAAACATTAATTATTGCATGTTAAATTTGATATTCTGTGAAATTGGAGTCGAATAATAGAAATTAACAAAAAAGAGAACACAAATGGGACTGTATCATTCTTAGGTTGTTTGCTTATAAGCTGAATAGAAATGTTTTGATAAAAATTAACAAGAATATGTACCTTTGTTACTTATAAAAATTGTTCTCTTTTTCAAAAAAAAAATTTAAAGTGATGTTCCCAGTACTACTATTTCGATAGGTACGTCAATTTTAGCATACATGTGTATACTTATTTGCACTATCTGAATCACTATTATGTATAAAGCTATTGACATGGTAACTGAAGTTTGTCGCATATATATACATATATATACCAATCAGAAGTCTTGTTTGTATTTTCTTTTAGAATATATATGTGTCTACATGTCCTAATTTAATGCTATGATTGTGTGTATATTTATTTGTTTGTAAACACAAAACTGTGTGTGTCTGTGCTAAAGTATATGTGAAAAAGTTAACTTCTTGTCTTTTTTTTTCTGTCTTGTTAAACTGTATTCAATTCCACTAACGATCATACACAACATTATTCAAAATTTTACCTATTTCAAATTTTCCAATGATCTCGAAATATCTAACGATCATAAATCGTTAGATACTTTCAATCTTACTAATTAAAACACATTTAACATATAATAGTATACAAATGTAAATATTGTTATAAGGAACTAGTAATGATAATCATAATCGAAAATTTTTAATTCATAAAAAGAAACTGGTGTTAAAAGTTATGTTACCTTGAAGAATCCTTGAACTTTTTGAAATACCTTCTAGTTGAACAATCATTAAACATTGGAAATTGAGCAGTCAACTGCCATAATAACCTTTTCAAAGACTATATATAAATGAATACAAATCTACCTAGTAATGTTATGCATTATATTATATAATTGGTTTTATCGGAATCAGATTGTATCTTCTCTTGGATTATTATCATCAGTTGTCATGTGACACATATTAACAATCTATTTCCACACTTTGAGTTAAAATGAGATATGTTTGTTTAGACTCTATAGTTCTCGAAATTTACATTCATATTTAATAACGAAAAAACAAAAAAAGTTCAATTATGTAACAACTTAAAATCGTACTTTAGTGTTTATGTAACGACTGTTGTATAAATATAATTGGTTGACCTATGGAAAGTGATAAGTCTGGTTTGATTAAATCCCCTGGTTCTGTATTAAGGAGACAAGGTCGAACAAACAGTATACGTGGTCAGATCCGCAGTTTAACAAACAAAATGACTCCTCAACCAGTTAACAAACTGGAGGATATAAAACATGAACAAAAGTCAGTAATCACTGAAGAAATTCCAACTACACGTGTGAATACACGTCTATTTAATGCACGTAAACAATTCTCCAAACCAACTGTTCCAATAATATCACTCGATGATCAAAACTCCTTAACTACTAGTCCTCAATCATCAAGATCCACATTCAGTCATAAAAAAATGTATAAGACCGATTCAATTGAGTCTAGAACATCAATGCCTGTGTCACCATCCGAATCACATTATTCACCTCATTTTGAAAAAAATTTAACACAGGTCACTACAACTATGCGTGCACTGTCAACGTCTCCACGTGTAGGCTCACCGAATGCTTTGATTCCTCCCTATAATAAATCTTTACAGCCTTTGGCTTTTTCATATGATTCCATAAATCCTGACTATCAAATAAATAAAGATACAAGTGACAAACATTCACGTGAAATCTACACCACTAATAATAGAGTTAAACCGAAAGGTCTATTAAATCCTAAATCTGAACTCATTAAAAGTCCTCAAGTAACAGGGAAAAACTTGATTCCGATGACGTCCTCTGTAATGACATCAACATCAGCAATAGCATCAAATACAGGTGATGATATTTTATTAGGATTAGTGCATCAAAAATCAACAGAGTCACATGATTCCTCAATAAGCATGCCTAGTGTTACTAGTTCCGGTGGTAGTCCATACACATCAGTTGGTTCACGACTACTTAGACAAAACAAAAAGGAAGATAAGTTATACAGAAGTACTGAAGTTAATTTTTATACGGATGACGATGGAATAAAGCAGAGTGAACAGCATATTGTAAGACGTTCAAGTTATGAAGTAAGTTAATCCAGTGTGATATTATCCTATATATGCGTGCATTTATTGAGTGTTCTTTATATGTTAAAAAATTTGTATATTCAGGTATACGCTTACAAACATCCCGGCTGAACTAGATAAATCAAAAGAGATAGACTTCAACAATAAACTACTAATATAATTAGTATTACATCCTCATATGTTAATTAGTATTTTGACATGCTTTCATGTAAACGAGACTACACTTCACTGAATACCAGTCTCAACTTATAAATTTCTAGGAATTTTTTATCATACTTTCTCCAGTATTCATTTAAAGTTAGAACATAGAAGTTGTTTTGTCATTTTTATTAAAAGCTCTCAACTTTTTTCAATACAGTCTTTATATAAAAGATGAATGAATAAACAATAATAATCCATATGATCCATATGATTCATACATCAATAAAATAGGTTTACTGTTCATACTAGTTTGATTTAAGCGTTACCGATAAAATTTAATCCAATAACGCGTTTTTATTTTTAACAGAACCACTTAGGATACGACATCGATCATAAAGTTTTTGTAAAAATAATAATAATCTAATTTCAAGTTTACTTACTTACACCTGTTACTCCCAATGGAGCATAGGCCGCCGACCACCGTTCTCCAACCCACTCTGTTCTGGGCCTTCCTTTCTAGTTCTATCCAACTTTTGTTCATTTTTCTCATATCTGTCTCCATTTATCGGAGTAATGTTTTCTTCGGTAATCCTCTTCTACTTTGGCCTTCACGATTCCATGTGACGGCTTACCCTGTGACGTAGTTGGTAGATTTCCTTAATGTATGTCCTATCCACTTCTAGCGCTTCTTCCTGATTTCTTCCTCTATTCGAATCTGGTTTGTTCTCTCCCACAGTAGAATGTTGTTGATAGCGTCTGGCCAATGAATCCGAAGTATCTTGCGTAGACAACTGTTAGTAAAAACCTGTATCTTCTGGATGATGTCTTCCGTAGTTCTCCAGGTTTCCGCCCCATACAGTAGAACTCTCTTGACATTTTATTTGAAAATTTTTCATATCTGCATCAGATCCAACATGTTCATCAATGATGCTGACCAGATATGTAAAGGTTTTCACATCCTCAAAAGCTTCTCGATTTAAAGTTTAAAGTCAAATAAATATTTAGAAAATTGTTTGATAATTATACATGTATTTCATTTCAATGTTTTACATCTCAGTAGGACAAGTAATGTGATTAATTTCAATGTTATAAAAATTAAAAAAGATATCTTATAGTATATACTGACAGTCCATTTATGACCCATTAGCAGTGTACACTCAGTCCTTATCCTTGAACATCTTTGAAATGTATTACCAGACGCTTTATTTAAACCGCCTCATCGATTGATTTAAATGATTCTGGATTGGACTATTCAAGAAGTTATAATAAAAATATGGACTAGTTGATGGCTATTTCTATGGCAACCTATAACTGGGGCTCTTTTTAACTCAAAATAATGGGTTTTCACTGATGCAAAGATTTAAGAATAAAAACTGAAAAGCTATCTGACAAACCCTGATTTTTACAGATTCTCTAACTAATTTCAAATGGTCACATCTAACTGAAAGGGTTTAGTTTCCAAAGAATTTATCAAGTCGGTGAAATTTCAGAAGATTAGGATTCAAGAAATATATTTCTAGAATCTTTATGCACTTACACCATGAATGTGCTAATCAACTGACAACTAGTCCATTACATCTTGTTATTAATTTTTAAGTGATATAACTTGGTATCATGATTTCACAAAGACATTAGATCGATTTATCTAGCTTTGTAAAAAAAAGAAAAACATAACACCTAATTAACCGAATTCAAAATTACCCATCAATCGATCAAGCAGCTACACCATAAATACGCTTCATTATGAAAAGAATTATAATTCAGAAAAACATATGTTCAGTTATAAATTAATGAAATAATTTTAGAATATCTTGTTAAGCTTAAATTAAATCCAACCCAATAAATTCTCGTAAATATAACCTACTTTAATGTTTGGACCACCTATTTTTCAACTGTGTAGATGTTTCCTACTTTAAAATTGTTTAGACTAAATATTTCTGAACCTTAATTGTGCGTATTCATGCTCTATAGAAATGGTTTACAGTTTACTATGATGTTCAGTATTAGAAACTATAATCAGAAACATTTAAGCTGTTAGAACATTTTATTCCTTATCTATCATTTGAAAATAGAGAGATGAATTATGTCTCCCTATCTGTAAGATACATAATTGACTTTAATACACTTATTATTAATAGTAGAACGTTTTCCATATACATAGTTCCTTTAAATCTTTCCATTGGAAATTACAAATTTTGTATTTTCCTTTAGTTACAATTGTAGTCATTATATTTAGGTATAACTTGTGAGATAAATAACAAATCTATTGGTATATATATATATATATATATATATATATATATATATATGTATATCGTTGTATGGTGAAGTTGTATACTCGTAGACATGTACATACGTAGGATCTAGCACGTCAACAGATTACTAAATCAACAAACAATAACTGTGTAAGTATACATGTATGTGTGCAATCACTTCAATGAATATTTCTTACTTTTATATAGGTTCAATTCCGCTTTTAGTATCTTAGTTCATGAATGAATATAATTAATAAGACAATAAATAAAAAGGACTTTTCTGTTAAATGTACTTTACTAAATCGTAAACATGTTTTAAGCATATGTTATACGAATAATCAATAGTATTCATTTTAGATAAATTTTCAATCTTTTTAAGGTGAAACTGCTACTGAAAGAGTTAACCTAACTATTTGATACTGAAACTTGTCTTATATAGATTAAATATATTTGATCACATTTGTGGTTGTTGATTTAGATTAATTCGAAATTAAAAATTAGACCTTAAATATCTTTTTAGATCATTATGATCCCCGACGAATTTTCAAGGATTCCAGACAGTAAACAGAAACTGTTTTGATGATCAACTGAGTCATGATATTGGATTAATGAAATATGCGAAAGTATTTAAAGTAAACAAAACATATGTAAAACGATATGTTGTCTCTGGTAAATTATAAAACTTGACAAATTCATCCCGCTATCATCATTAATTGTTGAAGAAATAAAATATGCGGTTTATGTGAAGGTTCATTTTATTTTTTTACACATGATAGAAGTCATAAATATTCATAACAGACAATTAAAGATAGTCCACTGCTTCTGAAATTTGGTTGTCGAGCTAATTTTGAATTTATCTAGAGTAACTATCGGCATTCAATTGACATAGCTGATAATTAAACATTATATTTCTTGTTAATGATTACACATGTGTTTTTACCTGGTCAATGAGTACATTAGTGTGGATTATAGTTTGGTAATGTAATGGAACAAGACAAAGTCTTTAATTTACCACTACTTGACATTGATTACAAACTATATGAGGATACCGCTAATATATATGTTATCTGATAAAGCTATTAAGTAATGATAAATGAACTGAAGATACTTTTTGTCCAAGATTGATATAAGCTGAACAGACGTTGAGAATCATGGAAAAGTATTCAAATATTTCTTACTTCTTTTTTAGGTTTCATTAGCGAAAGCTAACAACCCCACATTAGACGGAGATATAATGATCAGTAATTTCAGACTTCAGTCTTCAATACTATTGTTGAAGGATTTACAACTTCCACAACGTTTAGACTCCGTTAGACATAACATTTGACAGTCAACTCCTAAACTAGTCATAAGTGAACACCTAACTGTTGTTTAGTTGGGTATAAAAGAATGACGCAATTTTTAATCAACACCTTTACTAAAAGTTTCTTTGACTTCTTACTAACCTCCAAAATTATTTTGTGTATCGTATGATTCCAGCTCTATTTTCGTCATATTTAAATGCATCTCAGTGTATAACTCTAAGAATTATCGTAATATCTTCTTTAATCGTTTATATTCCCTAATATTCTTTAAAAATAAAGTTTTCACTTACTGGTAAGAAAATATAATAAGTTAGTTATTAGAACCAGCAAAATATTTTATTATATTTTATTAAGAAACAAGGTTTCAGACATCAGTATTAACGAGCTACTATTTAAATAATAAAATAAACAATAATTATGCAGTATAAACGAATATGGACACTAGCTAGCAGTAGAATCCAAGACGCGCGTTTCGTCCTATTTGGGACTGGTCAGCTGGATGTACCTGCATCTCAGAGTTGACGTTCACTCTGGGACCCGAACCTAGAACCGTTCGCTTCAAACGCCAACGCGCGTTCTGGATTCCGCTGCTAGCCATTATCCATCTTTGCTTATAATGCTTGCGAATTAAGGCTATATCGAGGCAATAAGCACAGTATGCACATATACCAATAAGAGACTGATCAATTGCAGTCCTAAACATCAATGGGAAGATTCAAACAAACAATACCAAATGAATAATTATGTAGTTTGTTTAATTGCTTATCATTATTATTATTATAGTTATAGTATGAATAGGTTAAATAATTATACGTTAAATGATCAATTGAGATCAGTTAAATTTTCCCTTAAACTCTTAATGTTAGTATTCTTTTTCAATTATTTTTTTATTTTTTTTATTTTTATTTTTTTTAGTTTACTGAATATAGAGTAAATATTTTTAGGTTTTTAAAATATTTCCCAACATGAAAAAAATATTTTTGTGTCATTGTGAAAAATTCAATATTTAATCGATCAATATTTAATGACTTATATATATATATATATATATATATATATATATATATATATATATATATAATTAACAATCAGTTAATTAGAATGGTATTTATTTTAAAGGAGAGATTTATAGTTAGTCACTTATATATACATGTATATATAAACCTTCTCATTGATTGATTAAAACACTAGTGTAAGTGTATTGATTGACCAAAAAGATTTTTTCCCTTAATCAATAAAATTTACCTATTATACATTTAGAAATAATATAGAAATATATTTTATATATCAACAAATCAAT